TYYTTTWWTTTKSYTYYTTWAAAAAAAAAACACAGCATTTTCATGCTACAAACTTGCACCCCTGATAAAATCTAAACCGGCTAATGTGGCTGCAAATGTACTGGAGCTTACGCAACAGTAGCGATTTTGATCACGCCTTTTCTGGCACAAGGCAACAAAATCCTTGCCGAACGGAAAACCGGTTGTTTAGCCTTTCCGTTCGTAATCAGAAATGCTCCTAATGTCGTGATTCGGAAGCAAATGATTTTGATCGTTGTTCGCATCAGGTGTTGCTCCGTCCGTGTTAAACTTATTGGCATAATCATTTTTCTTTGTCATGCATGCCATCTTTCATATAAATTGTGATGTGAAACAATCTACATGCAAAAATACATCTGGAATGTTTAAATTACCTGTCAAGAGCAGGCGCGCGTTTCCAAACATTACCGGAAAGGTGTATTGGATCGTATTTTATATGACAAAACATATAACACTAAAACGTAAATATCCTAGCAGTCATTTATGAAAAAGCACGAAAAACAATAATAATCAGCTTACTTGATAATGGCTTGAAATCGCGTACAGAACCAAAGGACAACTAGATGAAAACAACATATAGAGAAGGCCGATTTTATTTATAACTTCTAAAGAATTTCGAGCTATTTAGTATTTCCCGTACATTCTTTGTAATTGTCCAGAAGTGCATTGATTGGGTTCCTGTAATTATTCACGTTTATAAATCAGTCGACATCACAGTCACAGAAGCTGCCTATGAACACCAATATAAAAGCTTCTCAGGCTGCTAAAATGCCTTAAAAACTATCAACGAATAAGCATTTTACATCCTTAAAAGTTTTACCTGGTTGTTGATGCAAAATTAAGCGTAAATTATCGTAAATAGAGTGGTATTATTAAAATTACGATCATAACGTCAAGGAGACAGTAGTGACCACAACGCTTCGAGCGAGTGACCGTCATTCTGATCTGGTGGAAAATTTCTACAGAACGTCAAAATTCACTTTGAAAATCATATATATCTTCTTCGAATAAACACATTGTAATTTCTTTTTTCAAAGTCTTGGCTGGTTCTTACATTAAACTCCATAGAATTTAGAATCCAACCACGACAAAAGTTTGTAGCAAGATGTCGCCTAACAGACGAAAGATCCCGAAAATAGATATTAATGCATTGGTCACGTCGCCGTCGATACAACGATCTGATTGGCTCCGAACAATATCCTAAAGTCAGTATCGGACTAAAATCGGTATTCGATTTGGGCTTTCTTTCGTGCTTCGTGCTGCTTCGGTACATTGATCAATTGTCAACCGGTGCCCGGGAATTTATCGATTAGTTTCTATTGTTACTCACGGACTCACGGATTTACAACCCGATGACATATTGGCAACCGCTTCACTAGAAGTAGTAGCCACAAAAAGCTTTGCTATTCCCGTCAAGCTGATAAATATCAACATCTATACAGCATCTCYTCTCCATTCTCAAGAAATGCAGGCCGTATATATCGTATATCAGATAAAAGAACCAAGTATTAACACTAATCAGACTCTGTTAGAGCGACTCTTTTCATGTAACAATCTACTACTATATATAATCATTTTTATATTTTTAAGGTATTTAGATTTTTTTATATCTTTATAGTCATTCTAGCTTTTTCTTTCTTTTGACTTGATAATGACTTGAGTCAACGTTCAAACGTCTTCTACTTTTGTAGAAATAGAAAACTGACTTTGATTTGTTTTTTTACCATAACGAAGTCCAAAAAATTGAACATAAAGAAAAATAAATAGTTTGAAAAAGTCGTTTCATCCGCTTGCTCAGTGCGCGCGTGACGGATGTCGTAAGCACAAGCAGGTCTAGCCTCTAATCTACAATGGTTCTAAGCCAATCAGCGCGCGAGAAATTACTATGTACAACTAAAGAACATAATGGTGCAATGTTTTATATTCTTGCTTTTCACCTACGTCATCAAGGACAATTGCAAGGACTTATATGAAACAAAACTTCCGCAGGCTAAAAGAGTAGCCAAAACTATATATCTCAGCCAAAATTATAACTAAAATTAAGCAACGATCCGATGCTAAGCGTGCGTAAATCTATTTATGGTGCACGCGGATAGTTGGGAGAGCACGATTATGGTAGCGTTAGACCTAGGGCAAACGTCGAACTTTCTATGCTCCGAACTCATTAAAAGCAATGGATATCAGGTGATAATGAGGCGGCATTCATTGATGTAATTGAGTTCGGTGTATGGAAAGTTCGACGTTTGCCTTAGGCCCGTTAGATTTGTCAAAAGCTTGATTTTATCTCTGTATTTTCATCTTGTTTTCAGTATAATAACCTTACATAATGAATCAAAAAGCCTTTTTAGAAATACTAAATTTTTCTTTAGGAAAACTTGTTTGCCAACTATATAAAGGTGAAGTATAAGAGGTTTGTTCTTTATATATATATACTTGAGTTTCAGCATTTCCTTTTTACATTTCCTTTATTTATTCACTTTTTTTTTTCTTTTTTACTTTTTTTTCTTCCTTTGTTTATTTTTTTCGTGTGGACACAACAAATAGTAGGTATAACAAGGTATGTGTACAGCTGGTAGAAGCTTAACTCTGGTAACTTTCTGAAGTCGGATAATCATCCTAGCGCTGCTATTCGTCTCAAAGTGAAGTGGAATCATATTTGAATTCGCTTTGATTTTGTGATGTATTCCTTCCATCTTCAAGGGTGTTTTGTACTTGATTCTGGAATTACCTCATCGCGCATTAATATGGCGAAAACCTTCAAGACTAAGTCGGTTTCAATCCACCTTTTGATTCAGAATAGCACATTTTAAAAAATCTCTTTCAGATAGTTCACTTTTAAGCTGTGGATGTCGGCTAGTGTCTCAATTCTGACCATTTTTAACGCTAAACTTGGAATCACGAAATTTGTTTTTATACATGAAAACATGTTACAAAACCACGGGTCAACTACAGCCTCCACCTGATGTAGCGCAATATAATTATTCTAGATGGCGCCGGTAACTATAAAATGGAGTATTAAAATGGAGCATTAGCGGTATGGACTCCAAAAACTTATCTTCATCTACTCGTTCTGTACTGTCATCCACATTGAAAAGCCTTTTTTGCTTCTTTTTCTTTTTAATTCCAAACTTTTCTTTCCCTGTTTTTCAAAGAAGTGACAAGTATAATATTATATTTTGAAACCAAATTTTTGTACAGTGGCGATTCAATTTAAATGAGATCGTAATCAATTCGCAGTTCAACCTTTCTTTTGAAAAGAGTACGTGCGCAAAGTAATCCAACAAAAAAGCTTTTCTAACTTTTCTTGTGCCATCCCAGATTTTAAATGTGGTTAAATAAAATATTTAAGCAAAGTTAGACTTGAACTAAGTTGCCTGTTATCGCAAGTATCTGTCATCAAAAGGCTATAGCTTCGCGGCCATCTGATAAGCAAATTAATGTCTCACGCAATGAGATGAATGATGAACAGATGGTATCTGGGGACGAAGCTTGCATCGGGTGCTATCCAATTTCGCTAACGCCATGTGCTATCCGATTTCGCTAACGCTATGCGCTATCTCATATCGCTAACGCTAGCTTACGCAGTTTGTACGCTACACCAACGCTATTTGTTTTCCCACCCACCCTCCACTAAGGTAAGTATAGGTAAGTATTCCACTGCCAAGTCAGTGTGACGGTGCTAGGTGGGAGGTGACAGGGTTGCCATAG